ATGGATACCAGGAGAGAACTTTGACAAGAATATATCGTGGAAGAGAGACAGAACGAACAACAGCTGAATCAGGTCACACGAGGAGGGTCAAGGTCGAAGAGTCTGGGGAAGACTTTGTTGACTAGCGAGGAGGTAAGGTCATCCAAGCACCATTGACCAGCACTCATGTTAGAATTAGGTCTTTTTCTAATTAAGAGAGATTCTACCATTTTTCTTTCATACGAATTTGCTGATTTATTAATAAAGCGTTTCTCCAGGTTAGCAGGTGACCTTCAGCACGTAAATGAACGAAACACGCATTTGATTATCTGGCATATCTAACATCACGTTTATGTTCATTATTTTTTTTCTCAAAAGCTCTACCGATCTCGCCTATGTAAAACAAGGGGCAATTTTTACAAGGCATGGTGCATAAGAGCACCGCAAGCCGCATTGTGCCTAACCAAAGTATTACGCAGCGTGTTCGGATACGTAAAAACAAAGTCAATTCCAGCACCTTTAAACGTGGATCGTTTTTGTTTTTTTTCATCGAGGGACGGGTTATACGGAATAATTAATAGATTACTGGCACTATCCTGTTGAGTATTACGGGAATGACTCTAAAATTTCCATCTCGCAGATGAATGTGCCTGATCTGAAAAATAAAAAAAAGAGGATATTCTAATTTCGAAAACGTTTTAAAAATGACGTCAAGCTCCCGATCGATAAATTCATTATCACAAATCTTATATGCCCTATGAAACATTTAGGAGACTACTGACTTTTTGAGATACAACGGATGATTCGAGAAGTGAAGGTAATTAACGGTGTGAGTACCTTTACGGCAAACCGAAAATTTAAGCGAGTCATTAACATTCAATAAAAGAACGTCGAGAAAAGGTAATTTACTTGAATCTTCCCATTCTACTTTAAAATTGATAGAACACGCGAGGTTATTGAGTTTTCTGAAGAAAAAAAAAATAATCGAAATTTAAACGGTTCACTTGCCACAAAGAAAAAAGTATCATCAACATAACGAAACCAAATCGTGTCGGGAACAAACGGTAGGAGTTCAGATTCAAACATCCCTTAGTCGCTTAAGCGACTTCCCATCGCGATGCCATTAATCTGTTTATAAAATTCGCTGTCAGTAATGTCTTTACTCTTGACTTCGAATTTTATGCATATTTATATAAATATGTATATGTTATATATATATATGTATATATATATATATATATATATATATATATATATATATATATATATATATATATATATATATATATATATATATATATATATGGTATTTGACTAGGAAAATTAAGACCAGGCTCTTCAGAGCACTGGTGATCCCGGTCTTACTCCATGGGTGTAAGGCCTGGACATTGAACAGTGCTCTGAAGGCCCGTCTTAACTCCTTTGGTACTAAGTGTCTTCGCAGAATCATGGGGTATATCTGGAGGGACCATGTGTCCAATCAGAGGATACTCCATGAGACTGATTCAAGGCCTATTGCCAGTCTGATACGAGAGCGCCAACTTCAGCTCTATGGACATGTGGCTCCTTTCCCTGAGAAAGATCCGGCTCATTGGGTCATCTCCGAGAGGGTTGTCCCAGGCTGGAGAAGACCAAGGGGAAGGCCACGGAACTCATGGTTGAAGCAAGGCGACCAGATCTGCCAAGATGTGCTGGGGGTGGGAAGGAATGCTGCATGGAGGCTCGCTCGGAGGGACCCCAGGAGGTGGAGGCAAAGGTTGGGCGCGGCAAAGCGCAGCCAAGCGTATGCCCCCTTATGATGATGATGATATATATATATATACATATACATATATGCATATATATATGTATACATATAGATAGATAGATAGATAAATATATAGATAGATAGATAGATAAATATATGTATGTATGTATGTATACACACATATGTATATATATATATATATATATATATATATATATATATATATATATATATATATATATATATATACATATATATATATATACATATGTGTGTGTGTGTGTGTTTTAAGTACGTATACATATATATATATATATATATATAGAGAGAGAGAGAGAGATAGATAGGTATATATATATATATATATATATATATATATATATATATATATATATATATATATATATATATATATACATATGTGTGTGTATGTGTTTTAAGTACGTATACATATATGTATATAGAGAGAGAGAGATAGATAGGTATATATATATATATATATATATATATATATATATATATATATATATATATACATACACACATATATATGTATATATATATATGCATGCATGTATATGTATATATATATGCATCTATATACATATACATACATATATATATATATATATATATATATATATATATATATATATATATATATATATATATATATGTTTATATGTTTATATGTTTATATGTTTATATGTTTATATGTTTATTATGTATATATATATATATATATATATATATATGTGTGTGTGTGTGTGTGTG